TAAAATTTCAATATTTTACAGTCTTTTAGTAGGCATTATATACACTGCACTTTATGAAATCTAAAAGATATTGAAATAAATTTTTTCCAACATTTTGGTAACAAAACAGACAATTTTTTCAAATACTTGTGCTATCTAACTACAGGATCTGTTTGCTCTGATAACCACTCATCACAAAAACTGACTCAATGGAATAATTAGAAAAATTATCTAACACCATGCATGGGTTTGAATCATTTTTAATATCCTATCCTAGAAACATTCTACAAATCTTAAGATTTAAAAAATTAAGTCTCTGTTTGATTTTTAAAAGATATCTTTTTATGACAATATCCATAACATTGACAGATACACATTAAGGCTAGTATCATCTTCTTTTGTGAAATTTTTTGACATTTTTTTAAGAAAGATAGTAAAAGCCAGACTCCTTTAGGGCTTTGAACTGTACCTATAGAAAATGAGAGTGCAGTGAACATAATGTTCAGTCCTACAGTCAGGATGCAGTTGCTCCTTCCCATTCCACAAGATACTGCACCTTTCCATCAAGTGTCACCCGACGAGCCAACACTCGGTATTTTTCACCACATGCTATTCTACCTGCAGCACCAAAATAACTGGTAATGGAGTTTTTTAGATGAGTGAGTTGTAACTCCTGATCTGCTAAGTTATTCAAAATCTCTGTGTTGAGTTCATCAAATTGGTAATCCTCTTTGCCTTCATCGTCTTTTACAATTTCTGAGTTCTGAGTCTGGAGTGCTCTTCTTGGAAGACGACCCCTCCGCCTCCGTAAATGAGGGATCGCAGCAGGCCAAGATCTTCCTGTACGAGTTCTTTTTCTGGAGTCAGATAAACTATGGAAGAAAAAAAGACCATAATTATCCACTACGTTTATAAAGTATCCTCTGCCCATACTATATGTTTTCTCTGATTATTTTTTTCTATCACTCTGTTATAGTATATATCGTGGTGACATAAAATTAGCCAAACCAAAACAATAAATGCTATATAAATGGATTATCACTCGCCTTCATTAGATTCCATCACCTTCTTGGGGCTGACCTTTGAAGAGCTTTTCTTCCTTAACTATGATCTATTAAGCTTAAAAGAATCAAAGGAAATTTTTGGATTACGAGGCCGATTCAAATTCTTCCCAAGAGAACCTATTAGTAAGTCAGGTTTGTCAACACCCTTATCATTAACATTCCCCATCCCCCAGAAAGCCAGTTCATTCTTTCAATGCAGCAAATATACAATATGTACAAGACACTGTACCATGTGCTTAAACAGATGGTAAAACTAGAATAAAGGGTGTCTTATTACCAGTTCTAAGCCTAGTAAAGTAAGGAAATGAATTGGAATAAGCATAAACTAGAAGTCAGGCAATCCTGAGTACAGCTCTTGTGATATTGGCCAAATTCAAATCTATCTTCTGTGTTCTCTTAAGAGAAAAGACTAAGTGAAGGAGTTGAACTAGATCATCTTTGAGGTCCTTTTCTGCTCAGAAATTTAATGATTTTATGAACTTATAACAAAGGGAGAATAGGGCACAACTGCTAAAATCAAAGACTTTATAATCACACTACAGTTAACATACCAGCTCTGTTATACTTGCTAAACATGCTATCTTGGACTTGTTACTTAAAACCCTCTAAGTCTCAGTTTCCTTATCTATAAAATGGAAATAACAGGACCTACAACTCAAAACACTGTTTTAAGAATTAAAGAAGATAATATATGTAAAAAGCTTAGCACAATGATAAGAGGCCAAAAAATAGGTTACCTAATTGTTCATGATTCATTTAAAAATGTTACATTTTAAGCCTTCAAATACTTAGAATATTATATAATTTACACGAGTTTTTTAATTGTGAACAAAAATTAAACAAAGAGAAGTATAAAACTTGGAAGCTCAAAACTCTGACCCCAAGTAAACAAAACTTTTCATAACTGATGAGTCATACTTTATGGAAAAGTTTTTCTTCTGAAGAGTTTAGGTTATGCAAAACATTAAAGAAATCTGCTATTTATAAAAATCCTTAGTTTAAAAATCCTCTTACTAACAAAAGAACTTATGTTTCAGGCTCTATCCCCAGTAGGGGGCCTGTAAAAGGCAGCGAATGAATGCTTCTCTCTTTCCTTCTCCCTTCCTTTCTCTCTTCAAAAAAAAAAAGTCAATAAAAATATATAAAAAAATATTTTAAAAGAAAAGCATAAAAATGTCTCACAGAAAAGAGCAGACTATAAACATTTGTGTGCCTCTTTTCTCAGTGCACATAGCAAATTTTCTAAAAAATTTGAATGTGCTCTAAAAAGCAAAATTATTCAAATGAATATTAACAACCTAAAGCATCGACATATTGGTTGCTTCTCAAAAGATGAAAAACATACTTGTATCACTTTCGATTGGAAAATGTGTCGTTAATCATCACTTCACAAAGAAAAAGAGACTACAGGAAAATTAACAAAGAAAAGAACATAAAATATCTACCCATAATGCCTGGCAATGCTAGACGAGGTAGTTTCTTTTGCACTGGAAGCACCCGTGAATTCCACATCTGAGGTATTAGATGAATGTGCAGATCCCTCAGTTCTCCTGAGACAAAAGAATTTAAATGGTAAAACGACTATATTACATAACAATAGTAATACTAATTCCCCCCCAAAAGAAAGTTCTTAGGATAGGAGAAAATAACTTTCTATTTACCCTATAGAACAAGGTAAATCCAAGGTAGGATTTTCTGAAATTGATTCCTTATCCTGGAAAATACAAATATATATATATTTAAAAAGCATGATTCTAAAGTAAGCTGAAAAGATACTAGTTTATCAGCCATTTCAAGCACCTTTCCTCTCTGAGAACATATACAAACATATTATTCTCTTACCAAAGACGGCTCAGCAGTTTTCTGAATCATTTTTCTTGTATATGGACCAGGTGGACGACCTACAGATTTTTTCTTTCCTTTTTTTTCTATGCCATTGCTTACTTCCCTGAAAAATAAAATTATGTATTTAATCTCTGCATAAAGAGAACAATAACAACAACAAAAACAACGGACAATATACACTGTCATATCTCTATGTAATAATTAGGTTATGCTTATTTTATTTTTATATTAATGATAATATAAAAACAAAATAAATATAAGTTGAATCTATAAGTTTGGTCAAATGCACAAATAATACATTCTAATTTAAATAAGTATTTATTGCCTTAAGAGATATTCACATATGAAAGGTTTAAGAAAGTTCTCTTTAATACGCTTGTGAAAAATATATACCACCTAAAAAAGTTTTTTTAAATGAAGAAACAGACAGCTATTTCAAATGGAAAAGTTCAAAATTCCTGAAAGTTCCATTATATAGGTTAGGTTGTTACTAGTAGGTGGGTACCTGGGGGATGTTTCAAGGATTCATTACTACAAGTAATTAGGAATTCAGTAGTTAAACCCACAGAGACAGGAAGTAACTATGCTAAAATATACAAATTATAAATAGAGGTTACCTTTATATGTCTATACCTAAATTTTATATATACATATTCATTCTTGAATGATGATAATCAGAAAGAGAATGAAGCCCACAGTGGGAGAAGGTAAAGTGAGTGAGTCATTCAAAGGGCAAAATTAGAAAGATCTAGAAAACCATTTTTGAGACATAAAGGCAAATCGTAAGGAAAAAAGCAACAGTTAAGGACACCTAATTAATACAAGGGAAGAAGAAAAGGGCAACTATCAATATACAAAACATCTATTTCACTTATTCAACATTATATACCATATAAATGGGATATTACATAATAGGAATACCGAGATGTTCTCTGTGCTAATGGGTTAACGAAATAGTTAGAAAGTGACAAATGTACATACAAGCAAGCTTATTAAATGGGTTAAGTGTTATAAGAAAGCTATCCAGGAAAATTGAATTAAAAACAACAACAAAAAATGAACAATACTATAGATACAGATGGAAAGAGGTGAATGGAGAAAAGTAGGAAAGAATACCTCTCCAGACACCAAATTAAGATTGGAGAATAAAGGTGGAAGTACAAATAAGGAAGCTAGAGGAACATAACTGCAATCAAAAGTCTCAAGGCTAAGATGGATAGGGCACACACTTTCTTTTTTGAAGATGATCAACAGAACATTTCTTAAGGACCAACACCTGACTAAGGAAAGTACTCTCACATTAAAAGGACCACACTTCATACGTAGGGCCCAAAAGTAACTAAAAATGCCTTTAAAGAACGTTGAACCATTACCAAGTAGCATCAAATGAAAATCTGATAGCTATCACAGATAGAGTGTCCTATCAAAATCATAATAGGAATGAGAAAGTTTGTGCAAACTTTTTTCTAATTCATCATATGGGCAATTACTAGCAAAGGATTAATAATAAAATTTGTGATAGTTCTTTCCTTCAAAAAAAAACACACAACAAAAACAACAACAACCCTTTGAAGTAGCATCTACTTTATTACAAACTCAAATAGATATGAAGCACTGCCAACCCTCTGGAATGACATTTTCTCACTCTCCAAAAAGACTACCTCATACTTCTATTTGCTCCGTAAATGTCTCTCTCAACTATCTTTGCCTCATTACTTCACTGAGAAAATAGAAGCTATCTGTCAATAACTTTAGTCAGCTTCCAAATGGCAAATCTACAATAAAAGCAGCATCTGTACCTAACTTCTCTTTTTTCATTCCATTTCAACAGAAAGACGTTAAGTTCTCCTACCAAAGGCTACTCCCACATTTGGGCTCTAAAATCCCTTTCCTTTTGGCTTCTCAAAGACTTTACAATATCTTTAATTACCTCCCCCCCGTCTCCTATACCAATCTCTTCTCCACTGGATCATTCCTACTAGCACACGAAAACAGGTTCCAGTTATTTTCTATCAAAAAACCATCACTTGATTACTCCCTGCTCTTCAGCTTCCATTCCATTATCTATTTCCCTTCACAGTAAAACTACTTCTAAGGGTTGAGGACACATACCTTTCCACTTTCTCCCTTTTCATTCAGAATTCTTAAAGATTATTTCCTTTGTTATTATTATCATCATCATTACTTTGAATCTCCTTATGTTTCTTATTTGCAGAAAAACCCCAGTTTTGACATGTCAATTGGGCAGTGCCAGATTCAATCACATTTTAACACAATTCAATTTGACTTCTATCTTTACCTCTCAGAAAAAAATTGGTTTTGTCAAGGTCACTAATAAAAGAATGCTATCTTATCCAACAAACATTTTTCTCTCATCTTAACCCAGCTCTTAAAAACACTCAATACTATTTAATGCATTCATCTTTCTTGAAACAGTACCCTTCTTTGGTTTTCGCGACACTAAACTTTTCTGATTTCCTATTTCACTGATCATCCCTTTTTGTGTCTTCATTTATTTCACCTCTTCCCAAATCTCTAAATAGTATCAGAGCATTGTTCTGGGCCACATTCTCTTCTCTCCTCTTGCTCCCTAGATGATTTCATTCATTCTCATGGCTTCCATATTTTTATTATGTGCCCTAACCTCTCCTGAGCACCCAATTACCTATATCTAACATCATCACCATCACTTAGTTATCTCAAGATCAATGAGTATGAAACAGAAGAATGCTTCATTCACCTTGCCAAATTCTGTTCTTTCAGATCTTGGAAACAGAAAGCACCACCCACCAGTTGCTCAAGCCAGAAATCTGGGCATTTGTTAAACTTCATTCCTCCCCTTCTTTCATAAATTTAATTCATTCACATAGCCAATAAATTCTTCCAATAGTTCTCCTGAATCTATTTTCTCTCTCCATTAGACTGTTCACTATACAAGCAGGCATCATCTCTTACCCAGACAACTTCAAGAGTCTTAATTTCATTTTTCTCTTGCTTCTATTCTTACCTCTATACCTATCCATTCTCCAAACAGCATCCAAAGAGGTACTTTCAAAAGATAGTCCAATCTACTTACATCTTTAAATAGTTCCCCATTATTCATAGAAAACCCAAAGTCCTTATGAAACCTACAAGATTCTATATGATCATGCCCTACTCAACCTTCTCAACATTTTGAAGCTACTCTCTACCCCTCATTCTTACCCCAAAATCCTTCTGGGAGTTCCTACAACATGCCTCACAGTTTCCACACTTGTTATTTCTACCTGGAGTATTCATCCCTTTGTTCTTCAAATTATTAGGTCATTTTTAATCTTTAAGTTTCAACTTAAAAAGGCCTTCCTTAAATCTCCTTCTTAAGTAGACCCAATCCATCCCAGTACAGTCTAAATCTGTGTGTTATTTCCTAAAAGGCACTAGCATGATCTGTAATTATTTTACTTTTATCACATTTCTTCCTCACCATAATGTAAACCCCATCAGGGCAGAAAGAAGTCTGTCCTATTTGTTATTATATCCCCACACTTAGTAAGATGCTAAATGGAATTAATGAATAAATGAAAAATAAAAAATAAACAAACAGGCCAGCACTTCAATTGTTTGCTAACCAAGTCTACAGTGCTGATTCCTGGAAAACCTAAGATCTGAAATAAATGAATAAACATCTAGTATTAACTCTTTGTACCTTATCTAAGCAAAAAATTATACACAGTAAAACAAATCAGGGTAACTACCACTTGTACTTTCAAATATACTAATGAGACTAAACAACACACATTTTTAGTTACAAATAAGCTAAAGAGAAAAAACTAAGCCACAGATCAACTTTTACCTTGAATCAGACATAGGTTTGGATGCCTTTCTGCCTTTAATTTTAAATTCATGGGATGTTCCTTCAGGTTCTTTCTCTGCTTTGAAAGCCACATTTGGTGGCACAGGAGGAACACGAATTCGCAACCCAAACAAATGCTTCTTCTTCTTTATTTCTTTCCCAGACATAAACCTAAATTTTTAAAAAAATTAACTAAAGATTTAAAAACTGAACACATATACATGGCAGACCCTAACTCAACTTTCAGATATAAAGTCTTCATACATGAAACTCCACCCAATACTACAAAAACTACCTTTTCCCTTGCTTTCTTTGATTCTTATCTGCCCCAGAGCCAGTCCACAGTAGGTTATGATGGAAAAATTGGGAGGGAGGATCACATCCGAAGGATGAGAGATGTGCACATGTCCACCTTTCTTTTTAAAATATGGCATCTAACTTTTTAGAGGAAAGCAGAGTATAGAGTGGTGTCTTCTTAGTCTAGTATGTTTTTCCATATTTTAGTGTCATCTGTTAAAAAATATCTCAAAAAAAGGTGTGGGACAAGAAGAATTTCACGTGAGAGTGTATCTGTGAGACACTCTGGTCAGGAAGTAGTAGGTAACAGCATTGCTTAAGACAGTCTCAAAAAATACAAAGAATAGCGTGTGTGTCAGATCTGAAACTAGAAATAACCTGGAGCAGAGAAATGTTATTTCAGTGTAGGCTTGGGTCTCTGAATAATATGCTCTGAAAAGTAAGAGCCTTTAAGGTCCTTAGTCCAAAACACCCCAATCTATCTTAGCTCTGCCTGCCGAGCAACAAGAACCACTACCAAATGCTTGGACTATTCTTCCATTTTCATGTAGGATTGAAAAAAGAGAAGCTCCCATTTCTATTATAATAGGAACACATGTATTTCTGGCACCCTAAACTGGATTACAGAATTCCCTGTCCCATAAAGTATTTTTACCAACACAATAACTGCTCATGTACTTTGTGGCTTTTTGAGCTGGCCTAAAGATCTAGCTACTAGTAATTATAACATTTTTTGAAAATGAGGAAATGCTACCAAGTATAAAAACAGCAAACTTGTTATAAAAATTTTGTAATGTAATTCAATAGTTGGAGTTGACATTAAACATTTAAAAAATTATTTCTATGTATTTTGAAAATATTTTAAAGAAATATAGATATGCTGGGATTTTTAAAAAGATTAGATAAAAAATATCATACACTATCACTTAATTATAAAAAACTTAGGCCACTGCCCGACTAGCATGGCTCAGTGGTTGAGCATTGACCTATGAACCAGGAGGTCATGGTTTGATTCCTGGTCAGGGCACATGCTCAGGTTGTGGCTCGATCCCCAGGACAGGGTGTGCAGGAGGCAGCTGATCAATAATTCTCTCTCATCATTGATGCTTCATCTCTCTCTCTCTGAAATCAATTAGACCACTGATACTACTTTTCTATAACTGAGGCAATAACTAATCTCAATACCATAAAAGACCTCATTTAAAAACCCACATTCTCTACAATATATTCCCCTACCTTATGCAAATTCCCACCAGCTAACAAGATTTTATTTTACTTTAGGTAGATTGCATTATAAAAACAAATCATTACTTGTTGCACAAATTGACCAGGCCAAATTCCCCTGAGATACTCATATGCCACCTCCCATTCCCCATTCCTATAGGATTGCTCTTCCCTTCTCCAATCCTTGAGAATCAATGTACTACTCTAACTAAGAGAGAATAGGACATTAGAAATTTTTAAACTGTATGTACTAGTTCTATACACAAATCCCACAATTCTTAAACAATGCCATTATTCCTTAGACTGAATAAATGTCTCCCTCATAGGGAAACATAAAATAAATCAACTTACATGGTCTTGTAATCATTTAATGCCTCCAGAACATGCTCATATCTTTCAGATTTTGGTGTGTCTGCCAGCTGTGAAGTATCAAGAAACAATTTAACGTAGTATAATTTAATCAATTAGTAATATACAGGTGCTAGATAGAGGCAATATAATGCAGAAGAAAAGGGTAGTGACTGATAGAAGATCTAATTCCAGGTCTTAATGACAAGCTGCTCTGTGATTTAAGGCTGCTTAACCTTTAAAGGCTTATTTTCTTACCTATAAAAATGAGAATATAAATCCTGCACTAATTACTTTACTAGTAATTGCAGATTAAATGATATGTCTGAAAGAACTATGAACTGTGTAACATCACAGAAGTGGGATTATATTAGTTATTATTAAATTTATTTTAATTTTATTACCTGCGGGAAAATATATTTGAATTTGCTTTAATATCAACCATAAAAGCTTCTAATAGGTATTAATTAGATATGAATAGGGAGGAGTATAAAAAGTAATGAGAAACATACCATTTTATCTCCCAATACTTTTAACATTAGTAAACTAATCATTTCTATAACTTTAAAAACTGTGAAATTTAAGGACATTATTTTTATAACAATTATAGACTTTAACCAGCCCTAAAATCCAAATTGCCTCAATAATTTTTATGATCTCAAATCATTTAAAAATCTAAATATTAAATTCTAGAAAATATTCTATTTTGTTTCAAAAGGGCTTCCTGTAGTCATTTCTGTATCATCTTCAAGGTTAAAACAGCAGAAAAATTCTGAATCATAAAAGTACCACCCTCAATTAAAGTCACAAAGCCTTAAAAAAAAATAAAGGTTTCCAAAACATCACAATTGACTTTCAGAATTCTGCAAATTATTTTTTTTTATTTGCAAATTATCTTCTTTACCAGGTAAAACTCCTAAATCTCAGAACTGCTTCAAATAAAGAGAGCAAGCAAATCTGCCACATATAAGGCTGGAGGTAGAAGAGACATAAAGTCATCTACTCCAACTCTTAATTACTTAACAGATATAAAGATTAAATGAACTGCTCAAATTCACATGGCTGGTTAGTGAGAGAGCTAGAACCTGAACCCAAGTAACAGTAAGTCCACTCACTATTCATTGAAAGCCAATTCTGTGCAATGTGTTAGGTGCTAAAAGGGGAGGGAAGCAGTTTTGTGCTCATTCCTCCATATCACTCTATCACTTTCTCCTATTGTAATCTGTGAAGTGTCCAACGATAAAAAAATTCTATTAAAGTAAAAATAACAGAATCAAACTTTAAAGCTTGAAAGAGACCCTAGATGTTCATGTAATTCAAGCTTCTACCAATATACTGCAATCTTTTTTCAGTACTGATAGTCATTCAACCTTACTATTACCACTGATGAGGCACCTACTGAGACAGCCCATTCCATGAGTGCATGAAACTTTCCTTCTGGGAACTCTTCTATTCTCTCTTTTACAAGATAGATCTTCAAATATTTGACAGCAGCTATCATGTCTAAGTATAAGATTAGGTTAAAGTTTTTACCAGTAACATCACATGGTTATTTCATATTAAGCTTTGGCAACTAATTCCATCCTCTTCCTCATTCCCACCCATGTCCCTACCCTAACTCTAAAATCTGATCAGATGCCCTAATTGGTGTGGCTCAATAGCTAGGGCATCAGCCTATGGACTGAAGGGTCCCAGGTCTGATTCCGGTCAAGAGCACATGCCTAGGTTGCGGGCTCAATCCCCAGTAGGGGGCGTGCAGGAGGCAGCTAATCAATGATTCTCTCTGATCATTGATGTTTCTATCTTTCTTTCCCTCTTCCCTTTTTCTCTGAAATCAATAAAAATATATTTTAAAAATAAACAAAATCTGATCAGAAGAACTTCTATCAAGTCAAGTATTCCCTGTTATGCCTGCTTCTTCTGTACTGTTTGTGTATTTAAACCTAAAAGCAGAACTTTATAACTATTTTTAATCTGACTTTGTTTGCAGCTCAGTGTTCAAAATTATTTTTTCTCTTGATTCTGTTATATTGAGGGTAGAGACAAAGACACACCCTCAAGAATAAACTCTCCCTCAGAGTATTTCCAAGCCAAGGCCCTGGCCAGGTTGTTCAGTTGGTTAGAGCGTCATCCTCATATGCCAAGTTGCGGGTACGATCTCTGGTAAGGACACATTCAGGAAGCAACCAATGAATGCACATGTAAGTGGAACAACAAATCCAAGTTTTTCTGTCTCTCTCCCTCCCTCTCTTTCCCTTTCTCTCTCTAAAATCATTAAAAATATGTATTTTTTTCCCAAGACTTTGCTTTTGTTACTATCATTTGATTAGTTACAAATCCATTTAATTTTTACTTTAACTAGTTCACATTTCATTGTCTAATATGAAATTGAGTTGCACTATGGTACACCATGCCCATACCAGTTTTGCTAACTATAACAAAAAAGAATCCAGAGTATTTAACATGATTTATTCTAATAAATCAGTGTTATTTCCCTACTGCTTCTTAAACCATGCACTTGAAAAATCTGCTCTTCAATTTGGCTGACAAACAACTGACTTTCTAATTTCTCAAATCCACTACTTTTTTCTTTTTTAAAATCACAATGAAGTCTCATCTTCTTTTAATACTTATTCTCTATAGCTCTCAGAAACTTTATCTTTAAGTTCCGTCAGCACTCTTGGACTATAACTGCATAGGACTGTATTTCAATTTGCATAATGAGGTCAAGGGATCCCATGCTGTGTTTTGAAAACAGGGTTGTATATTTCTGTACAACATAAATGATATTATGTATAGCTACAACTCTTTCTACCATTCAATTATTCATGCTGAATTCCCTGCCACATAGGCTTAAGCATGACAAACAGCTTAATTTGTCCACAGACTTTTATACTACATGCTAATATATAACACTCAAGGCCCCATGTGTTTTTGTTAACTAGATTTCTTATTATACCTGCTCTATCATACCACATTTTCCATTAGCCAAAACATCATTTCTGCCATAGTATTTCATTTGAGTTTTATCTATGCTTTTCCCCTTATATCCCTCAAAAGTGAGATAGCACTCTACACATTGTTAAGACCACAGTAAACAGAAAAGTGGGTAGTCCTTTCAGAACTAGGACTTCAAATTACATTAGGAATCAAAGACAAATGATAAGAGGCAGATTCTAGAAAGTACTGATATCTCATTTTAACTCCCAAAAGAAATCTACAATAGTGATACATCATTCTAAATAAAAACCTTAAGCAACCTTTATTTGGGGTCCTAAATAGTATATTATACATTTTTACTAATCCAAAGAAAACATTCCAAAACAGATTCTCAAACAGCTATACTCAATCAATGAAATCATTAAGTCACTACTTCTCAAAGATATAAAAAAATTTACATAAGAAAACATATCAAATTATATGTTCTATATGTTCTAAAAGTTTCAGCTTCTCTTCACAGCAATCCTGAAAATAACCAACTGAAAAAATAGATATGCTACATAAAAGTTAAATTTGCCTTTCACTATGAAAGACATTTAATGATTTTGAAACTTCTGTTATTAAAAGAGGTCATGGGCCCTGACCTATTTGGCTTGGTTAGAGCATCTTCTGTGCCTCAAAAGGTGGTGGCGGGTTCAATTCCCAGCCAGGGAACAGACCCAGGTCCCAGGTTTGATAACTGGTAGGGGCACGTGCTGGAGGCAGCCAATTGATGTTTTGCTATCACATCAATGTTTCTCTCTCCCTTTTTCTCTCTAAAATCAATTAAAAAAAAAGTTCACAGTACTACTTTATACCAAATTAAAAAAAGAAGCACAAAATACTAAACAGACACCACTGATACAATATAAAATTGTTCAACTAACTAGAAATGTAAATAATTATTTATTAGGCTTCTCAAACAACATAGAAATACCATTTACTTTAGCCAGAGTCATCATATGTTATAATTTAGCTTGGCAATCTATATTTATAAAACCCTAATATGCAAATAGACCAAAGGGTGTAACAACCGAACAACCGGTCACTATGACATGCGCTGACCACCAGGGTGCGTGCGCGGAACATGGTAGGCGTCAGCAGCATGTGGCAGAGAGCAGAAGATGGCGGGCATTGGCCATGGCGGATGGTGAGCAGGGTTGCCAGACCAAGGTGGGGCACTGGTTGCTGTCACTGGGGCAAGCCTCTGGTGGTTACTGAAAATTCTTTGCCTCCACACGCCACTGTCCCTCGCACCTGCTGCCAGCACCGGAGCTGCTGCTTGCACTTGCTACTGGCGCCTAGCGTCTGGCGCCGTCCCAGATTGCTTGGCACAATCAGCAGCGGTGAGTTTTATCTATGCTTTTCCCTATATCCCTCAAATATAAGTCAGCGGGGGCGAGCAGCAGCTGCTGGCCCCAATTGCCTCTGAGGGATTCTCCACCTCCCCCTGCTCCTGAAAGGCGATCAGGGCCGGCAGCCGCCTCTCGCACCAGCTGCTGGCACCGGCCCTAATCGCTCAGTGCCATCAGCAGGTGCAAGTGGGGCTGATGCAAGTGGGAGCAGTGGAAGCAGGAGCGGGGCTGCCAGCAAACAGGAAACTGGGGGCCGCAGCGGGAGGGGCTGAGGAGGGGTGTGGAGGATGGGCCCACCGCAGCCTTGTGGCCCACAGTTCCTTTCAAGGTGCAAGAATTCGTGTACTGGGCCCCTAGTGTTAAATATGTTTCCCTATGACTAGGTGTCCATTATATATACCTAAACAAAATGCCATAAAAATCTCAACTTTCCAAATCATTACAAGATTTTTCTTTTTTACTTGGAATAAGGGAGAAAACTCCATATTTGAGAGAATAAAATCGTAACTACTTCTCTCCTTTGTGTCATTTTTGAGGAGAAACTTCTAGAGCAAGTGTCTATGTCATATAATCTATAGTCTGTATAATAAGAGTTGATGTTCAAAATGACCCTCGGGTACTCCAAGGTACTCAATTAACCAATAATATACTCAGCATACAGCATTTCTCATGTTGTTAATGCTATTTTATAAAATTTTAAACACAAATATAAAAAGAAATTTTTTGTAACTTAAATTTGAATTAGTGACAAAATTCAATTTGCAATTCAATTTTAAAGATTTACTATTTTAATAATCTGAAATAATCCATTGCTTGTATTCTTTGTTTCTACTACCATATACATTTAAAAGTAAACTAAATTAAAATCACTGAATATACATTAACAATTGGCATAAATTTTATGGTGGTCTTATTATATAAAGACTAGAGGCCTGGTGCATGAATTCGTTGCACCGATGGGGTCCCTTGGCCTGGCCTGCAGGGATTGGGCTGAAACAGGCTTGCCAACATCCCCCGAGGGGTCCAGGATTGAGAGAGGGCGCAGGCCAGGCCTAAGGATCCCACCAGTGCATGAATCCGTGCACCAGGCCTCTAGTATGCATATTAGATCTTTGGTTAATCTCTTCCCACCCTCTTTTCCTCCCTCCCCACACCCCTCTGAGATTCATCAGTCTGATCCATGTTACCATGCCTGTGGTTTCCGCTCCTGCATAGAGCATCTGGCCCCTGGTGGTCAGTGCATGTCATAGCTACCGTTCAGATGGCTGGCCGGTCGCTTAGGCTTTTATATATATACTAGAAGGCCTGATGCACAGAATTCATGCAAGAGTATGCCTTCCTTCCCCTGGCTGCCAGCACCGGCATCCCTCTGGCACCCGGGACCCGGGCTTCCCTCGCAGCCCCGGTTTAGTATGGAAGGTCAAACAGAAGGACATCCATTCTAATTAGCATATTACACTTTTAATATTATAGACTAGAGGCCCAGTGCACAAAATTCGTGCACTTGGAGGGGGTCTCTCAGCCCGGCCTGCACCCTCTCACAGTCTGGGGGGTCCTTGTCTGACTGACAGCTTAGGCCTGCTCCCTTCTAGGCAGCCTAGATCCTGGATGCCTGCGGGCAGCCGAAGGGAAGCCCGGGTCCCAGGTGCCAGAGGGAAGCTGGTGCCAGCAGCCAGGAGAAGGCAGGCTCTGGGGGGAGCGGGACTAAGCCATCAATCAGACATCCTTAGCACTGCCGCAGAGGCGGGAGAGGCTCCCACCTCCACTGCTGTGCTCGCTAGCCATGAGCTTGGCTTCAGGCCGAGTGGCGCTCCCCTGTGGGAGCACATTGACCACCAGGTGGCAACTCCTGCGTTGAGCATCTGCCCCCTGGTGGTCAGTGCACATCATAGCAAGTGGTTGAGCAGCCTTAGCATATCATTAGCATATTATGCTTTGATTGGTTGAACGGACGGCTGGACAACCAGACACTTAGCATATTAGGCTTTTATTATATAGTATAGATGTAGAAAATTAACCTGAAACTCCATTTGTACATAACCAGACTGAGGACATATGACTAATCTAAGAAGTCTGAACAATTTTTTAATGTAGAAAAAGAGCAATAAGAAATGATTCAAAAGTCTTTTGTTCTGATAATTTGATGGCTCAAAAAAAAATGCTCCTCAGAAAAGTAAAATTTTTGTTGTAAAGTTTTTATTTGATTGTAATCAAGTTTTCCTTAATTTTTAAATAATTTTTTTTCTATGTCAAATAAAAAATTGACATTTCTTATTTCTAAGACATTATCTCATAAACTACAGAAAATGAAAATATGTATCTATTGCCGAAATAAATTTCTTCTGATATGTATCAGAAGTTCAACTAGAACTAAGTACCTGCCCTAACTGGTTTGGCTCAGTGGATAGAGCATCTGCTTGTGGACTGAAGGGTCCCGGGTTTGATTCCAGTCAGGGGCATGTACTTTGGTTGCAGGCACATCCCCGGTAGGGGGTGTGCAGGAGGCAGCTGATTGATGTTTCTCTCTCATTGATGTTTCTAATTCTCTGTCCCTCTTCCTTCCTCTCTGTAAAAAATCAATAAAATATATATTAAAAAAAAAGAACTAAGTACCTGAAATTCATTAACTGAACTCATTTTTAAAAAATAGAGTAATTGTTTTTATTGTTTTCTACTTTCAATCTCTTACCTACAATGTAAATATTATTTTAATAAAAATATAGCATTTAAAATAAATAAAACAACTTGAATTTTTATATGTATGCCCCTGTTTACATCGGGGATAGGGAACGTCCAGCCTAAGGGCCATATAAGGACCATGAAATCATTTGCTCTGGCCGTGCCAAGGCATTAGCAATAAGTTAATTAAATGTTTGACCAAATAGAGCAGGCTAATTTTTAAGCTGATAATTTTGTATGGCCCATAAATGATGTTATAAATATCCAAATGGCTCTTGGCAGCAAAACGTTTCCCACCCCCGAGTTCTACATGAAGTAACTACTGCAATATTTAATCATGTAAAATACATGAAATGTACTAACAGGAAATCAGATGTATCTGCATATAAACTGTTGAAGAAACAAGGCTAGAATAAAAGCATTTCTTTGAGGGGAGAGAGGTAAAATCAAAGTACAGAATAAAAACATTTTAAATAAATGTATTAGAACATAAGATATTAAGATGACTATTAAGGACACTATAGCCCTGGCCAGTGTCCTTCAGTGGTCAGAGTGTCAGCCGTGCACTAAAATGTCTTGGGTTTAATTCCTGGTCAAGGGCATGTACTTGGGTTGCAGGTTCAATCTAGTCCCCGGCTGGAGTGCGTTTCTCTCTCTTCCCCCTAGCCTTTCCCCCCAACTACCTTCCACTCTCTCCAAAATTTAATGAAAAAAATATCCTCAAGTGAGGATTAACCAAAGTAAGAAAGAACACTAGAGTTACTAGCACCATACACATACTTTTTTCTTTTATACTAATCAGTTTATTCAAATTTATCAAATTTACAAATCACTTTTCTCTTAAACTTCAGAAAAATAAGCATTTAACAAACTCTTAACTAAACTTATTTATATTTCAATTTCTAACAATCAAGACATCTTAGTTCAGTTGATTTTAATATCCTTAGATTTAAAATCTAAGTATTTTGCAAGTGTTTTATTTTATGCCACTGATCTACCAAAAACTAACTCTTTTTTTGGCCTTTTAATTGTCTTTATTACCCAAAAAAAGCTTCATTTTTAAAATTTATTTAGTTTTCTGACTCTGTGCTTGTGCCTTCAACACTTTCACAATGATTTTCTGCTCCTCAATAAGGAAAGCACACTTGATCCTGTCACGGACACATTTAGCACACATGGATCCACCATAGGCCCTGCTGACATGTTTTTTCGTTTTAGACAACCTCATTAGAACTTTAGTTCTCACAGCACAAACACCTCTAAGTCGGCCTGGGCTCACACCACATGCAGATTTTGGTGCTTTCCCAAGCTTCTTGGTATAAAGGCAAACAATTCTATTACCAGGGATTGAGGACAGCCTAGTTTTGTTAGAGGCTGTACTGTAGGACAGCCTCCAACGGTATGCCAAATGCTGGACCGTGGTGAATGCCTGAAGTCACTGTCCCCAGAAGAGCCCACCAACTGACCTTTAAATAAATGTGCACTATGCTCTCTGGGATGCCCCACAAAACCCCCAATATAATAACAAAACCCTTAAGGTCCTATTTGATATGAACCTTATAAACTGCCACATGTCTAAAGGCTTCAAATATAAGAATTCTTCCTAAATTTCAAATCAGTTTACTCAATTTTTACCTCAAAATGTGATATGTGACTAAAATTCATTCATCTCATTCCACATACTATAAAACAATTTTTATTTAACCCAGGAGTACTTAATATCCATATTTCAATAATTGTAACTAAATGCTAAATACCAGATAACTACTGAAGTTATTCTAGTTACTTTCTTCTTTGTGCTATTCTTTGGTTTCAAAATCTTCTTCAATGTATGTGCATTAACTTTTATATTACTTTAAAAAAATCCTTTGTATATCCAGCATGAGTGGTTATATTTTGCAAATGAAAAGCAGAATGAGATGTCTGAATGAGGGAGAAAATCTCCAACTCAGGTAGCTTCACTCTAACTCAGGGGTCCTCAAACTGTTTAAACAGGGGGCCAGTTCACTGTCCCTCAGACCGCTGGAGGGCCGGACTATGGTTTAAAAAAAAACTATGAACAAATTCCTATGCACACTGCACATATCTTATTTTGAAGTAAAAAGACAAAACGGGAACAAATACAATATTTGTATTTGCATGTGGCCCACGGGGCGTAGTTTGAGGACCCCAGCTCTAACTCATTCTTTTAACACTGTTAACGGGTCCTAACATTTCCAGAAGTCAAAGATTTACAAGCAAGTACCAACAAGAAATTTGTAAAGAAGAGTGTTAGTTACATCTCTAAAGTTGATGGAAAACATAGGAGGAGGAGGAATCATAAGTAAGGTAACCAATAATGATTTCTCCCTCCCTTCTATCTTTAACTACAATGATTCTCACTTCAGAATATGAAAGATTAAAGAAATTTACTTCCTCCTCCTACATATTTTCCCCTACTCATCAGGCAACAAACAGGAGGATGAGAGGGCTGGTCTTGATATCCTTACAGGAATTATTTCTCCCTGAATTAAAAATAAAATTCTACATTAGATGGGTGGCTTATAGATATGTCTTAGTTGCTTTTAACAAAAACAAAAAAAGACATCAAGTAGCTAATGAAGTCTGCTCTAAAACCACTTACCTCTCCAGGGTGCAATCTATCCCAGTTTTCATTAATGTATGTCATAAGCTCAAGTTCAGAATCAAAGTATTTCTTCTTGTGAATAACACTTAGGTTGTAAAGGCATAAGTGTGCTATATCTACCCTGGAATCCAAAGTAATCAAAATATACAAAAAAACAATGTTTTTGGTTATTGTTAAGAAATCACACAATTTTTTATAACACCAGTAATTTTAAAAATCCAATGTAAAATACTTAAGTGAACAGAGGGTCAATATCCTAAGTCATATTCATAATGTAATAAATCATTACATTGAAAATAATTGGAAAGCATTAACTAAACATTTACTTATCCTAAACTAACTATAAACTAAAAAATATTTGAATAATTTCTTAAAATGCATTAAAAAAGAATCTGATTTCAAAAAACACCTTACAATAAAAAAATTTTGTTTTTACTACTATATATAAGCTACTGTATAGATCATACTTTATTAGACTTTGCCTGATTCACAAGTGTTATCTTTTCCTAAAATATGCAAAACATTTAATAAAAATGTCTAAGTACTTACTACATATTACTCCTAAGTGTCAGTTTTGCTTTTAAAGTTACATGCAGTCAACTGCAGCTCAAAAATATGAAATGGAAAATTCCAGAAATAAACAATTTCTAAGTTTCAAACTGTGCGCTGTTCTGAGTAGCATAACAACATCTTGTGCCATCCCACTCTGTCCCCCTTGGGGTGTGAGTCATCCTTTTTGTTCAGTGGATCCAGGCTGAATTGCCCTGCCCATTAGTCACTTAGTAGCTATTCTGGTTATTAGATGGATTGTGACAGTATCTCAGTGCTTGTGTTCAAGTAACCCTTATTTTACTAAATAATGAATACAAAGCTCAAGAGTAGTGATGATGGCAATTTTCCAAAGAGAAGCTATAAAGTGTATTTACGTATGTATAAGAAAAACCATAGTATATAACAAGGTTTGATTCTATCCAAAGTTTCAGGTATTCACTTGGAATCTTGGGCATATTTCCCATGAATAATGGGGAACTACCGTATAAATATTTTATCATTAAATCTCCCAAATTCATTATACTTCCCATGCCCAAGCATTGCTACTCAGAAGCAAAAATTGGCATATTTGTAATAAAAACCTTCTTCTACTATATGCTATTCTGAAGGCCCAAAAGAACTAGAAAGATAAGAGTTTTGAAGATATAAAGGGTATTTTAAATAGTCATTAGAAAATGAATGGCTATATAACTTTTTCAATATAATTAGCTAATCCTTGGTGAAGATGACATCAGGTTTTCTATAAACAACAGAAAATAAATAAAGCTATACGTAAAGATGACCAAATTTTTACTTAAACCAAGTAAATATATCTACAGTTTTATCTTATAGGTTTAAGAATATGGCTCTCTTTTGTTCCTTAACAGATATGTCCTCACTTACCACTGTAATGGTAGACGTTTGAGGTATTCAGGTCCAGAACTGCAGACAGAACAAATAAATGTATAAAACCTAAGGAAAAAGGAAAAGTTATAATTATTGTGTAATCAAAAGTATACATCAGAGAGACATATTGACCTTCCTAAGCTCAGAAAGATGGCATAAATTAATGGCATAAGCCAATATTTAAAACCAGACTTTATGCCAAGTTTAGTGTTCTATCTTTATTTTGTCTTCCTAAAGTTCTCTCTTATAGTCTACATTCTCCTAATCCAGAAAGCACATTAAGTCTACTTTTAGAAATTCTTAGGTCTAAGGTATAAATTGTGTGTATTAAGGTTCTTTGTCCTTTTCCAATGTTCTGTCACAGGATCTCTTTGAGGTTCTTTAAAGGAAGATACCAATGAGTAGAGTTTAGAACAACCGTGGGCAAACTATGGCCCGTGGGCCAGATACGGCCCGTTTGAAATAAAAAAAACTATTGAAAAAAAAAAAAAAAAAGACCGTACCCTTTTATGTAATGATGTTTACTCTGAATTTATATTAGTTCACACAAACCCTCCATCCATGCTTTTGTTCCGGCCCTCCGGTCCAGTTTAAGAACCCATTGTGGCCCTCGAGTCAAAAAGTTTGCCCACCCCTGGTTTAGAACATTGTGGGGCAATACAAGCAAATGTAATCACTAATCAAATATTTAAAAGCCTTTTGGAATAATATCCAAAAGAATAAAAATTATGTGTACTTTCAAATTACATATAATTTAAATATATTACTCAATATTTTCTCTGTGACTCCTTTACAAATCACTATTAAAACTACTTCGAGAAATCAAAAACTGCAAATATTACCACAATAAAAAAGCTAAATAAAATTTTTTTTTAAATCAAACAGTAAAGTCCCAATGCCCTTCTCACCTGTCTCCAAATAACATTGGCTTTTGAAGGCATTGCACACAAGCCTCGTGAAACCACTGCTTACATTTGCAGCACTGTAGCATCTTTAAATACCAGCTATGAGAAAAAAGTTAAGATTAAAATTACTACCTTTTGATGATGTAAAGTATTTTTTTTAAGTGGCATTGTACTTATAGGATCACATTTCTACTACATGTAGTGCTAAATTTTTTCTTTCTCAAAAATGTCATTCATATTAACCACTTCATCTCTTATTCATGAGAATTTATATGCTCTAGAAAGATACAACTATTTCTAGTCAATAAGTGCCTGGTTCCTACACTAGTCTAGGATCTATGTCAAAACACAATCCTGGGAATGTTTTCACACTGATTCTATACTCTAGAACAGTGGTTCTCAACCTTCCTAATGCCGCGACCCTTTAATACAGATCCTCATGTTGTGGTGACCCCCAACCATAAAATTACTTTCGTTGCTACTTCAAAACTGTAATTTTGCTACTGTTATGAATCATAATGTAAATATCTGATATGCAGGATGTATTTTCATTGTTACAAATTGAACATAATTAAAGCATAGTGATTAATCACAAAAACAATATGTAATTATATATGTGTCTTCTGATGGTCTTAGGCGATCCCCGTGAAAGGGTCGTTCGACCCCCAAAGGGGTCGCGACCCACAGGTTGAGAACCGCTGCTCTAGGAGACGTTCCATAGGTCACTGATGTGCTGGGTGTTCACCCCATATATCAAATGGGCATAAGCAGCTTTATATTTTCACTGTGTTTCTATTATTCTTGTCTATTAAAATGGAAACAAGTTATGCATGACATAATTTCGGGCAAAAACAGACCACATATGTCACAGTGACATGCCATATAGCCTAGGTGTATACCATCTAGGGTTGTAT